GAAAGCCTTCGTTGTAATGAACAACTTCATATATGTGGTGCTCGAAAACATCAAAAGTTAGTAATGAAAAAGATCAGGCAAATATATTTGAATACAAGAATTGTGACCGAAGTTGCGGAAAAGTTTCCCGATGCCTTTTGTTCGAACATTTTTCTGACCTTCGGAAAACATTTCCGATCAAACACTTTTATATATTTTTATACTACACACTTTGCTCTTTCTAACAGAAAAAGGATAAAGTCTCTACGATGTTCCATTGCAACGCTATATCAAAAACCAAAATTAATGCAGAACTTTTGCATCATTCGTTAAAACATATGTTAAACCAATGAATATAACAGATTGTGAACCAATTCTTATCAATGCAATTAATCGTATTCGAAAAACTTTTTAGGAGACAGCAAATCATACATGTAGAACATTGATTAAACAAATAATAGTTGGTTGTCAAAATAAATATCCTAGACGTGATGCAAAATGTGAAAATGTTGAAGAAAAACACGGAGAACATTCAAGTTAACATCATTCAGCTATGGCATTAAAGGTTGCAATACTGGTAAAGAAAAATTACTTGATTTAAAATTATTGTATCAAAACTGGAATAAGATAAAGGACTTACACCCTCCGTTTTTGGTTAGAGCGGCCTCAAACAATTCCGAAAAAAACTATATAACGATGAAAATAATTATCATGGTTGGTAAGCACGGTTAGAAGACGAAATATTACTAGATGAATGCAGTAAGAATACAGAACACCTACTAGAAGATCATGCATACACATTTTTAGAGGAACTGGACGCTCGTGAAAATAAACGGTTGGACGCAGTTTTGTCTAATTTTCACGTTGAAAAATTGGTGAGATTTTTCTTCATCAAACAACGAAAATTTATAAAAAGTTTCAAAATATATAGCCTTAAAATATCATCAGTAAAAATATTATATTTGGAATCCGCGTGGGAAATTGAATCGAATGATATATTTATATTAAAACATGATATTTTAATGGTATATATTTTGAAACGTTTTGTTTATTATATTGTGTGATGAAAAGCTCAGCAATTTGTCAACGTGAAAATTCAAAAAAGCTCGAAGTAGCCGGTTGGACTAACAAAGTACAGCATTCGATTCTATTTGCGAAGCTGATTCCAAATATGATATTTTTATTGCAAAAAACTGGAGTCCTGAGGAATAAAATTGAGAATTTTGGGGAGCACTCCGATTTTTGCGTTTCTGATTTAGAAAATATGAATTTTTCTCAACGACAAAGCACAATGGAAAAGAAAACGATATATACTTTAAAGCTCGTTTAATGGCGGTTCTAATGAAGTGCAAAAATCGGCTTCATTTCTTCAAAGAAAAAAACTAGATAGGTTTGCAAAATTGTTTAGAAATTTTTTATAGAGGGAGTCCAAGATTGATTGTTTTTTTCTATTTCTATATTCGTATAACATACTGTTCGGTTTTGCTTTGTCCGAGGATCAAGAATATTATCTTATTTTTTACAAAAAGACGTAATGATAATGAGAAAAATCAATTTTAAGACCAAAAGGATCAATAACGTAGAGGAAGCTTTTTCAATGTTGAATTTATCTTTTATTGATGCACCCGGTGGAAAGCATTTTCAAACAAAAATAAGGTGATATTTAGAATCAGTTCGTTGAGCAGCATCGAAGCATATATGAGACGAATATTTTCAACTAAAAAATTGTTTTTCAGCGCTAAAACCGAGTTTCCAAAAAAGCATCATTCAGAATTTTAGACCATGCACGACCAGCCCATCTTCAATCTGATCCAACCTTCCGGAGAGCCATCTATATGTGATATGTCGAATGACATATGTAAAAAACCGAGAAAATAGATTAAGCCCAATTGCTAGAGGTTTTCCGAAACAAAATCGGTTTTTCAAAAGATGTGTTTAGTGGAGTGAGAGCGTGGTAATTAGCGAACGCTTAATTAGACTCAAAATCATATTAAAATGTTCCTCGAAGTGTGCTCTATCCACAGTAAATACCATAGAATGCCCATATCGTTTGAGTTATTGATTTTCCCGAAAACCTTGGTTTTTTAGGTAAAATGTGGCTTTCTCCGTCCCGGAACATCTGTATATAGAAATAATGTGATATTTAGAATCAGCGTATAAAACTACAGATGTTCATTCTCTAAATACAAGTTTTTTCGACAAAAATTTAGGTCAGCGCCTCCCTCAGAGATTTTAGGTTTTAAAATTTTTGTTTTGAGTTCCAGTTTTTTTAATTTATAATAACATTTCAAACGTAATAAAGTACTATGGAGCAAAAATAATCTCTTTCTGCATTAAAAAAGCACATGCTCGTCCGGTCTATGGAAAGGTACCCACTGTGAAGAACTCACAAAAACTGCTACTTCCATTCACTTGATTCATCAAAGTATGTTTTGTGTTAGTAAATTTTATTTTAATTTATAAACTGCAAAAGATCTATACAATATGTGAATATGCATTCTAAACAAATATCATCCATACATTCAATTCCTATTCGTTTCAAGTTTTTTTTACGAAATATAGTAAATGAAATATCATAGAAACAGTTTCTTTGCCAGTTTGTGATGTGTAACTCATAAATTAGGTAATCATATATTTAGAGGAAAGACCCTGACATATGTTCTTTCTTTTTTTCTCCTTTTCTACGAGTTAAAATCAAAGTCATGAATATTCTGCACTTTGTGTTCTCATTACCATTCTGACTTCGTATCATCATAATCAACACATCAAGAAAAATTCTAGATCAAATAATCATGTGTTTACAGAAATCTCTGATGACCTTGTATATGATTTACAACATCAACATACGTTTTTCACCACGCTACCATTTCACTGCGCAAACAAACCTTGTTACCAACGAATGATCATCAAATAGAGAGAAACGTTGATGATATTTTTGTTGGTATAAACTTTATTCGAGAATGAAAGAAGATCTTAAAACAAATCGAAATCGCGGTTCGTTGGACTACATTATATCAATTAGTAATCTTTTGCTGCTTTTAACACTAAAAATCAAAAAGTATAATACTTTAAAATTCAAATACTTTTAACAATAATTTCAAAATTGCAGCGTCACTAATTCTCGTAGGATTTAATCTGATGATGTGATATTTCAGACTGAATCAGAGTTAAACAATATGTTAAATGAAAACAACTTTTCGTGTAATTATGGATTGCATTGAATCACAGTTGATAAATGATTAACTATAGGAATTTTCATCATCGTTTGAGTCGTCAGAGAACGAAGAAATATGGAGAAACATGTTACATGTTTTAATTTAGTTCATTGAGTGCTACTGCTTTAATCTAACACATACAAAAGAAAGCAAAAGAGACATAAACGAAAAAAAAGTAATGTGTCCTCTTTTTTATTTGTTTAACATTCAGATTTATTGTACTATTAAACTTAACAATCATAGCAGGATAAAAATGAATAAAGCTATATATAAACTTCTTTTCAGACATATAAATTAACATACCATTCGTTAAAGCGACCGAGTATCAGATACACGACGAAGAAAACAACTAAACTTGCATAAATCTCTCTATATAGTTGTACAAATGGTTCTGTTATAAAATTCTAGAATCCAAAATCGATGAAATCTCTCATTAAGAGAGATATAAAGCAGGAATCAACGCGTATGATATTTCTTCCTTCAGTATATGAGTTGTCTTTTTTTGTCATTTTTCCTTCTGCATTCTGCATAGAGCCACGCATCAGAAATACCATGTGTGTAGTACTTATAGGGAAGAAAATGGGGAGTTGTACCGTATTCTCGATGTGCTAGTATTTTGATGCACTCTGTGTTCGGTTATTGAAAAACGAAAGGTAAAAATAATAATATATTCTGTTGTAATTTTCATGTATTTTGTACGATCAATACCACATTTATAACGACGAAATAATTGATGTTGATTTTTCTTTCATACAGAGTTAAACACCTATTCACCATTTTTTCTGCGATTGATTGTATCGATGAATACAACAGAGGTATGCAGACAACTTTTATTGCTGTTTAAAGGGTGGCCCAGAAGTCCTGATTCGATTTGTATAATAATTTTTCTAAAGTAAAACACATGTTTGTAAATTTCTCTCTATGATGAAAAGACACAGTAAAACACGCTCTACAAGATGGCTTTTGATTGACCCCGCTAGCTCATATAGTAAGAAAGTTATAGACTTAGAAATGTGCTTCACAAAAAAGCAAAACTATCGGTGAACCCGATCTTGGTATTTTGCTTGAACTCCTGTTTCTTAGGTCCCCTAGAACAAATTATTTTTTTAATAGAAGCGCCATGCAATGCTCTACAAAATCATATCTAAACTTTAATTTCAGAACTTCAATGAAGAAAACTAAGTAAATTATACGCGAGGCGGAAAAATGAAAACTTTGTAAATTCAGTATTTTTTTCGACTCGAACTTTTTCTTCTCCTATTATTTCCGTAAAAAAGCTTAGCAAAAGTGAGAACCCAGTTTATGTTTACTACTTTCGAATGCACTCTTTCTCGTGATCTGTAAAATATTTCTCTCAGAGTAGATGGTGTACTCGAGAATGAAGTTTTAAAAATTGAAAACCTCTGTTTCTGACAATGTGCCCGAGCAAGAATTAGAAAACGTGATCGAAGTTTGATTTTGTAGTTAGGTAGAGAAGAGCAATCATTTCTGATCAAAACAGAACAAATTCGATCTAAAAATCTTTTGTTTTGATGGAGTTACGAGACTTTCACTGAAAGCACCACCATACGAAGAGAGTTCATGGTTAATTTTTCTTTTTTGTGAAATACATTTCTAAGTCTATAACTTTCTTACTATATGAGCTAGCGGGGTCAATCAAAAGCCATCTTGTAGAGCGTGTTTTACTGTACCTTTTCATCATAGAGAGAAATTTACAAACATGTGTTTTACTTTAGAAAAATTATTATACAAATCGAATCAGGACTTCTGGACCACCCTTTATCTTTAGATGAAATCATTCGAGGCATGTCTATAAGACGACTATGGTGTTTAATTGTTGTTCCATCGTTAGTAGAAGATATTCAGAAATATGAATATGAACAACGAAATAGAATTAATAGTGAACGATCACAACGTGATGAACATTATTTATTATTGAAATCGCTGGTTCATCAAGATCAACTACACATAACTTTCGAAGATTCAGAGCAGGAAAAATTGAAAATTAATTATAGCAATGCAACGAAACAATTTCTGCGTCGCCTCCTATCCGAATTTCTCGGAACGTTGTTGCTGGTATTGACCCAGGCTAGTTTGAAAATTGAAGTTAGTCAACAACGGATTACGTCTGAAAGTAATGCTTTAGCAAATGGACTGATAGTTTTATTTCTTATTTACAGTTTGGGCGGACGATCCGGTGCTCATTTCAATCCAGTCGTCACATTTTGTTTTTGTATGAGATTTGTTTTTCCGTTTGTCTGGCTTCCATTTTATGTCCTTGCTCAATTTCTGGGATCAATCTGTGCAGCGTTCGTAGACTGTTCACGTATTACATGGCAAATTGGTGAGAGGTAAATCCCATAACTAATCATTAAAAATATCACAAATAGTTATGTGTTATAGAAACAGACATTCTTCCTTCGATTTCTATTTGAAACACAGTCTGTACTTCATAATGGAACAAATTCAATTGATCGGTCTTTCGTATCCATTATTAATGGATTTCAATGGGAAATATTTTTAACATTTTGTCTTTTATTCGTTATTTTACAAACAGCGAATCGAGGAGAAATCATAGGATCACAAGCGGCACTTGCCGTTAGTGCTGTTATCATATTCAATGTGCTTGTTGGCTCGACAACAAGTTCGTCGTCAATGAATCCGTTTCGAACATTGGGCCCGGCATTGATCAATTCAAGTTCAGATCACAATCAAAGTTTGTGGATTTATATTGTTGGGCCGCTGCTTGGTGGTCTCATTGCAGTAATTATTGTTGGTCTTTTAAATGGATTTCGACCTGAGAAAGCAACCGAATTGAAAATGGCACAAGGTGGAGATGACGACGATGTAAAACTTAGAGCAAATGACTGTAATGACAAGAATATTCATCATTTCTAAATGTCGAGAGGATGGAGAAATGGGAAAGTATCCCTTCTCCGATATGTAAACTGATAATATTTGAAAGAAAAAACACATTTGCTGGTTATGCAACATTACATATCGAAAAAATGTTAAAAGTTCCTATGTTTAACCTACCATTAGGCATGTATTATTTACTTTTCTTGACCATTACTTTGCTTGGGAAAAGTAAATGATTCCAGTGGCGGCGCGAAAAGGTTGGGAGCATGGGAGGTGGTTGTGACTAAATCCAAAAATGGGAGTAAGGTCTCCAAAAATAAGCCCCTGATTCTCCGAGCTCATGGTGAAGTATAAATAATTGATGAGCATCACTCATTAAGTTTGCCTAAACGTCACATTCACTGTAATTTTCTCAGACGTAGGCGGAAAAAAATAGAAATAAGTCATCTAAGTCGGTTAAGAAAGCTTCTTCAAAGAACACATTTAATATCAGTTTTCGGAGAAAGCAGCACTTTAATATTCGAAAAAACCAAAATCGGAGTAAATCATCCCTCAGGTTTCTCCGAAATTCGGAGTAAATCGTTCTTATCTTTTCTCAAATTACGTGTAAACCGTTCTTGGTTTTGTTCAAAATCGGAGTAAATTACTCTCCGAGTTTCTCCAAAATTGGGAGTAAAGGGCCCATGACTTCCTCCAAAACTGGAGTAAATGGGTAACCTCCCCATCCCCTCCCCTCCCACGGTCGAGCCGCCACTGAATGATTCATTCACTTTATCTCTGGCATATGGTAAATAATAGAAAAAGTAAATGACTGGAATAATCTTTTACTGATGCCATTGTACAAGCGAGGTTGGAGGCCCTCATTATGAATACAATTAAATTAAATGATAAATGATTTCTATGATGATTATAATGACAAATGAGTCTTCTTCAATTAAAAGTAAATAATTTCTAAACAACTTGTGTTGACGAAATTCATATAATAGAAAAAAAACGGGTTGGTAAGTGCGGTAGTATTTTGTAGGATTCGATCACAAAGTTTTTCGTTAAATCTAGTGAAGTTCTCAGATTTTCAAAATTGCTCTATCTTCACGAGTATCCGGAGAGATTTAAAAAACAGTCATTGTCGAAGAAAAGAAAAAAGAGTTTTTAAAAATATTTTTAAACATACACGAGGTCCTTTCTCTTTACTTTTTTTCCGTTCTGCCTCAACTGGTCAAAATATGCGTTATTTTAGTTTGTTTTGAATTTTCATTCAAATCTTGTAGTGACGATGATGCAGTAGCATCGAAATATCTGTTGTAAATGAAGTACAAACTGAAATAAAATGAATTTAGCTGCAAATAAAATTGAAACATTTAATATCCATAAAATTATTTATTGTTTTCTTTGCCGTCACCGTCACGTCACTTTGTTGCTTAGAATGAATGGAAGGGAAGTAAAGTGAATTGGTGTTTTTCCGTCTTCTGGAGAAGGCTGCAGAATATCCTAGATTTTTGAAGTACTCATATCTCGCGGTTTTACATCAGAGGTTTTCAACATTTTTGCTGTTAGAATGAATTATTTCTCCTCATAGAAACACGTTGGAGAGTGAAGCTTTTACAATAATCAGTTACAAACTAAATATTTGAAGGTGAGGCACCTCAAACTTTACAGTGGTCGGTCAATCAGTGATTAAGTTAACCGGCGTTATGATTTGATCCTTCCAAGCCAGTCACTCCATTAGTCTTTCGTCCTCTCTACCTTCCTTCTACGTCTTTCTTTTCTTGATCTCTCTCAGTGTGGCGGGCGGTGAACGGTTAAATTCTAAACAGTTGAGGCTCAGAGAGAAGGGTGCTGGAGCATGGTAGCGACGACAAAATTCTATACTTTCCTTATGCAAAATGTCGAAACATTTTTTTCTTAGTGTTATTTAACCAAAATGAGTTGCGATAAGGTTTTCCACGTTCATAGAAGAATCTTTTTCCATTTTGACGTTTTGCTTTGCTGATCAACGGGAAAAGATTTGAAAAGGTATCAAAAATTTTGAAAAGAATTTTATACTTCAAAATCTACACATTTAGATACCTAGCATGAGCAAGTTCGAGTCCTCAAGCTTGACTTCGAATCTTTGAACAATATTCTAGATTATGGTGTCGCTTTTTATCAGTGATAAGACCACACTCGCTGCTTCTAATACATTCATCACCTCAATGGCTTCAAGTGTCATCAACTGCATCACGAATGATTCTGATATTACTTGACTTTTGAATTTCATCAATTCGTCTTTATTATGACTGCTGAACGACTTGTCTCTTATCGGTTCATTATAGCATCAACTTACTTCGACAATTGTTTTCCTTCTTTACTTGTCATCACCTTCTCTCCAACAGATATCTCTACAAAATGCCGCTTTTTCAATTATAACTATTCAAGATCTTGACAGATGGTTGATCGGTAATGTAGATGAAAAAGACATATTTTTGAATGAACCATATTGGGTTTGCTCCAGAATTATCAATGACATAATTGCAAATCTACTTTTAATTAATATTTCATGTAATAACTGACCGCTGAGAGTTTTTATTTAGCAATATTACGTCAAAATGTTAGTTTAGGTATTCAATGTTTGAATATGTCCGACGGAAGGCCATCTGCAGTGTGATGAGAGAGAGCAATTTCTATCTTATAAATACAACGTAAAATATTCATAGGCGGCGAAACAAATTGGGTCTAAGATAGCTTCGACATATTTTCGCTCCGGGAAATACTTGCAGCTTTTTTATGATGGCTTTGCTCACTATTTTTTATACCTGAGAAACGCTAAACAAAAACATACGAAGTAAACTAATACATCTATTGCAGAAAGTAAAAACAAAAATGAAGGAAAAAAAGTAGTAATCGAATACACCAGAGAAAGCTTTTCTACTTTGATCTTTTGAAGCAAGATAAGAACACTGTTCAGATTTACTGAATCTAATTTTTATGTCGACAGACATTATGTGTGTTTGTTGGAATTTATTGTTTTTTTATTTTCTTCTTTCTTTCATCCGTTTTTGGGCAAAATGTGCACCTTGTGATCTGGAGAACTATGAAAGTTAGAAAAGTTCTGGGAAAGCTAGGATATTCTCCCGACATTGAAGATTGATCAGTGCATATTTTTCTGGCAAATAAACGTCCAGACTGGATGCCCTAAGCACCACAAGTGAAAGAAAAATGTACGTTCGACTTTGAAATTTTTCGTATATTCAGTTGTTCGATGCCGTTTGCTTTTCAGAAGAAAAATAATTCTCGCTCTCTTCTTCAACTTTCGTTTTCATTTCATTTTGTTTTAAATCTATCTTTTGATGTGGTGAACTGCCTATTGACTGCGGATCACGTCTGGTAGATTCAGATCGGATAAAGCCTGTCGACATCGCAACTTGTGCGCAGCGCAATCACTCTCTAGTTTATTTTCTTGTTTCGTCCCTTTTTTAAGCAAAATGTGCACCTCGTGGTCTAGCGAATTACACTATGTAGAAAACGTCTAAAAACGGGAGGACAATCTCCCGACATTGGAGATTAATCGATACACGTTCTTTTTTCAAAATTAAATCCAGATTCGGCACCATAAGCTGCACAAGTAGAAGTAAAATGTTTTTTAGACTAAGAAACTTTTCGTGTATTCATAGCAGTTGATTGTCCTGCGCCATTTGTTCTTGAAATGAAATGTCAAATCAATATATCTGTATTGATTTGATTTACTAAATATATATACATATATATGAGCCATTAAAGATAAGTCACGACCTAACGTGCTCAATCGACCATGTCAGATTTCTTCCAACATAGTAGACTTCTTTAAAGCAAACATTTTCATGAATTATGGCGAAAACCGCAGATTC